ACAATAATTCTTACACACCAAAAACAATTAATACTAAGTGTGTTTGTTATCATCAAAATACTAATTAATTAAATTAATTAACCGAGATTAAGGGTTAAAAAGCCAACAGCCAGCAAGTTTACTCTCCTAAAATATAGTGCTCTCCGACTTAGTGAGATTGAGCCAAATATTTTGAATTTAAAATGTATTGAAATGAGTAAAAAATTTGAATGAATGAAAAATATTTTATAATAAATTTCATTATTAAGGAGTAAATTAAGGAATTATGKGAAGAATTGATTTGAATCCTACACAATTTAATGTTTACAAAATCAAATTTGGAACATTAAATATTTTACATTTAAATAAAAAAAATTAATTATAATAAATATAAGTCCGATAAATAAGGACAAATTTGATATTTGAGAAAAGTTTTAAATCAAAAGATCTAAACCGGTAAAATTTGTAAATATTAGATATTTGTGAAAATAAGTTTCTAAAACATATCCCTCACTATAATTCCTTTTTTAAAGCAAAAATAAGAGTTAAAATCAAAATCTAATTTAAAAGTACACAAGTATAACTAAATAGTTTAATCAACTGTGAACACATGCATTAATTGGCACCTCTCTTTGCCCGAACGAATCCCCCACCCAGCTTGATGTACTAGAAAAAGTGGTAAAACTATTTCTATTTTTCCAAATTCCTATGGAGCATTTTTCATATAAAATTCCTAAAAAGAAAAATAAAAGTTATAGATCTATTATGATATATTTTTTTAAGGTTAAAATAATATTTTTTTCCCATTATAATTTAAAGTTAAAACTTAAAGTCTGAATAACCATTTCATTTCTCATTTTCTATTTTTAAAAATTAAGCATTACTTTGTTTTTTATATATAGTTTTTATAAATATTTAAAAGATCTAAGACAGTTTTTCATTTTTTAAAAAATGTAGTTTCCAAAAATATAGTTTTTTTTTTCTAAAATGTAGTTGATAATTTAAAAATATATGTACATATATATATATTTATTTTTTTTCGATATCATAATTCAAATATATTTTAAAGGCGAAAAATCCTTGAGAAATTGACGACGATAAAAAAAAATCATAAGTTTTCAAAATAGAAAGTAATAAACAAAAAAATAAAATAGCTATTAAACAAATGGCTAAAATAGTCAAAACGATATTTCTCAAAGAAAAAATAAAATAAAAAAGAAAAAGTTAATATCTTTATGGACATGTTTTTCATAAAGAGCAGAGCTAGACAAAATTGATTAGCCCGAGAAAGGGCTTATCTCGAAAGACGATTGGTGACCAATGGCAGCATTGCGTATGATCATGGAAGATGATGTCAAGTTGGACCTTGAAGCAAAGCCGAAGTTTGGATTCCTCCCAATTTCCAAATCTGAACTCTCCATTTTTTTCTCGGAACTGATTTCTTCCCATTTTTCCACATCCCCTCTCGCTTCGCCTTTCTCTCTGCTTCTGCCGTCCAAACCAGCAAGGAAATGGCGTCATCTCGCTTCTATTTTTCCCTCTCCTTGCTATTTTTCGCTGCCGTCTCCTCCTTCCATCATCAGGTAACGTTCCTAATTCTCAACATCCGTTTCGAGCTCTGGAATCTGCACTTTTCTTGTATCGTAGCTCTTGAACTTGTTGAAATTGTAACGGAAGTTCTCTTGATTTCCAATCTTGTTCTGGCGTATTCGAGTGGATCCATAAACTAGTTTTAAAAAGAAAGAGTAAGGATATGGATGAAATATGCAATTAGATTCCGATGATAGTAATTAATTGTGTTTGGGGTTTACGTAGACTCACAAGTCATAATTGCTGTTATAATATTAATCGAGAATCGGACATGGTTGCTTGTTACCCAATTCCTGTTTTCAATTATTTTTTACATATGTGGAGTTTTACCTTTCAACAAACCTCAACGAAATAGGATCCTGCAGATCCATGGGAATATATGAAAATTAGTCACTCATACACGTACGTTTATTCAATTTCCTTCTATACTAAAAATGAAGAACACTTGGCTCTGCCTGTCCAGAGAATTAACTGAAAATTTTCACCACCTAGCAACTTCAATGATGAGTACGCTGTCTTACATAAGTTTTTCCTCCTTACTCTTGTTAATTATTGAATTTGAGTAATTTGCTATAATTGCCGTAAAATGTTGATTTTTAGCCATATCATTGCATTTCATGTGAAGGTATTGCACTTGTGTCGTTGATTAATCAGGTTAATTCGTTTGATTACAAGCAGCGATTCAAGAGTCGGTAGGACAACTTTAAAGCCTTCATATCAACTTCTTGTTATTTTATTTATTTTTTTTAAAAAATTCTATCCAATATAGAGAAATCCTTCACAAGTACTTTTGAAGGACTGGATAGAGATGCCAATGAATTCTTAGAAGTCTCTTACTATGTATCTTCTGGTTGGGCTTATTTGTATAAGATTTCTTCTTTTTTGTTGTGATTTTTGTCTTCTACCGTTGTTAATATGATGGCCTTTTTATTTATAATCTTTTCTAGCTCCTGTTTGTGGACTTTCCTCATGGCCGCACACAGTAGTTGTAAAAGTTCTTGTTTGTATATATATTCATTTGTTATAGAAAAAAAGGGTTAGAAAATCTTCCCAATCCTTTTAGTTGTTGTTAAACATATTGCGTGATCTATTGTTATCAGGTTTATGCAGAGGAACAAGTTCTAAAGTTCAAACTCAATGCTGATATTCTTCAGGTACTACTTTCTGTTTCCGCAACATTGACAATTAAGCAATATGGATTTCAGTGGTCAAAAGATAGTGACACTCGTCACACTCCTTTATCTGCTTAACCCAATTCATTGACAATGACTTTTGGACGGTTTGAATGGCTGAAATAGTTTGATTGAGCAGAAAAGATGTATAACCATTTAAATAACAATTTCGCTCCTGGGTCCCTTTGGATCTTTATTTTTAAAACCTTAAATCGTGTCATCTGAATTGAAATGCATCTATATATACTTGTGTTGCTCTAAAAGTTTCATTTTAGTCAAGTTTTTGTTTAACCTTATCATTTTTTCAAATTTTACTGATTAATGACATTAATATTGTACTAACTCTTAAATCTAAGGGTGAATATTAATTTAAAATTTGGAACACCCCTAATGATTTTTATGATGTCTTGTCTTTCAGGAGTCAATCGTTAAGCAGGTCAACGAACACCCACAGGCTGGTTGGAAAGCTACCATGAATCCACGTTTTTCGAACTATTCTGTAAGTTTCAACTTGCTTTGCGTTATCGGTAATTCTATGTTTATGGCTGGAATTTGACTGCTTTTTTCCCTGAACGTCCTAAGCATTTTCTTATTTTAATTATCGTAAGAACTCCTTTTTTGATGCTGCATTGTTTATCGTGCAGGTTAGCCAATTCAAGTACCTGCTTGGTGTCAAACAAACTCCTGAAGAGGATTTAAGAAGTACTCATGTTGTATCCCATCCCAAGTCGTTAAAGTTGCCAACAAACTTTGATGCAAGAGAAGCTTGGCCTCAGTGTAGCTCCATTGGAACAATTCTAGGTTAATTACTTCATCTCATTTAAACTGATTTAGAATACGGATTATTTTCATAAACAAAACATGCTGATGCTTTTCCATCTGCGAATGTCAAATGCTGGATAAATTTCCTCACAAAGATCAGGTAATTATTTTCCATTGATTTTTAAAATCTTCCTCTTCAGTATTATGATTTATGGAAATCCTCAGCGCGTCTTTACGTTTTAGGGGCACTGTGGCTCTTGCTGGGCATTTGGTGCTGTTGAATCACTTTCAGATCGCTTTTGCATTCATTTTGACATGGTTTGCCAACTAAACTGATTTCTTGTTCAATATTAATGTGTAATTACCCAAATTTTATTTTCGTACTTTTTGGTAATTAAATATAATATTTGTTTCAGAACATTTCTCTGTCTGTTAATGATCTTTTGGCATGCTGCGGCTTCATGTGTGGTGACGGCTGTGATGGTGGTTACCCAATTTCTGCATGGAGATACTTTGTTCGCCATGGAGTTGTTACTGAGCAGGTAAAATGAATCTACTTGGAGAATGACACTCCATGTATAACTTAAAGCTCTTCATGTGGTATTTTCTTGTTCCTGTCTTAACATATGGCTCTTAAATTATGTCCTTTTGCTGTTGATGAATGCTGTAAATAACCATCTGAGACCTTGCAGTGTGATCCATATTTTGACAATACTGGTTGTTCCCACCCTGGTTGTGAACCTTCATATCCTACTCCCAGATGTGTCAAGAAGTGTGTAGATAAGAACCAGCTTTGGAGTAGGTCAAAGCACTATGGTGTCAATGCTTACAGGGTGACAAAGGATACCTATGATATCATGGCAGAAGTTTATAAGAATGGACCAGTCGAAGTTGCCTTCACAGTGTACGAGGTAAGCGAAACCTCTTGCTTTTTCCACTTGGTTGAATGCGCCCAAACTTTTGGATAAATCTTCTGTAGTTCATTTCTTTACTGCCTTCCTACTTAAAGGACAAGTATACATGCTTTAGAGCCAAAGTTTACATAATAATAACTGGAAGGCTCGACAATGCTGATCATAATAACAATTTAGAAGAACGTTATAGGGCCATAATTTTATTGAAGACTTCCAAATTACATGTAACTTATTGTTAATTATGTTAGATAGTCAATCTACTATTTTATACGTATGACTTGTTTGTTTTTATTATAGGAAGTGTTTTTTCTAGTTGGATTAAAACATTGCTTTTACTCACTGAAACATACACTAGTTCTTATGTGTCTTACAAAGATCTGTATATTCTAATCTAAGAGGACTGCTTAATAAACACCTAATCTTTTCTATACCAGACAATGTATGCTAACCTCACACAAATGGTTTCATATTGAATCCAAGAAAACACATTTTATGTTGCCTTCTGACTTGCGGTCATTAGTGCTAGAGGCCCAATCCATGGTCTTAAAAATCTACCAAAGTTGGCTATACGGAAAAGGCTGAATATGAAGGCCAAAATGGATTGCATCTTTTAAGTAGCAAATAGTTTTCAGCTGGGCGATAATCTACAAATCTTTGGTCCTTTATATTTTTGACATTCCTTCTCGAGAGTTTTGTGAAAGAAATCTTAAAATGTTACATAAGTAAATATAATTGGCTATCAATATCCCATACCTTGCAATTAGTTGTAAAAGCAATGAATAGCAGGCCTTTTGAAGATAAAAAATGTTTTGGAGAGCCTTTTGTTTGAATGTACATCACAGAGCCTCTTGGTAGACCACAGACAACCACAAAAAGTTCTTTTGTAGTTATAGCCTACAAATTATTATGAAGGATTGAAAAGCTGTAATTGTTTAGTTCTCAGGAGGAGTCACCTCCACCCTGCCTCTAGGCTGTGACCGTGTTGCGCCTCTTTTGAATATATTAACTTTGTCTTCTATCAAAAAAAATAATAATAAAGTTGTAAAAGTAATGCCTCTTATACTGATTTACAGGATTTTGCTCACTATAAATCTGGGGTATACAAACATATCACTGGTGATGTAATGGGAGGGCATGCTGTGAAGCTTATTGGATGGGGAACAACGGATGATGGAGAGGATTATTGGGTCTGTTGACACCCCCCCACCCTTATCTTCTAACTTGTAAGATCTTAATCCCCAAGTTTGCGAGGATATTACGTTAATCGCGTTCATTTTCCCGTTGCAGCTTTTGGCAAATCAGTGGAACAGAGGCTGGGGCGATGTAAGCAAAAGCTTTGATGACATTTTTTGTGTTCCTCAAGATTTTGTTGCACTAAAGATGGTTAAACTATATGCACTTGAATTTTGTTTGTAGGATGGCTACTTCAAGATAAAAAGAGGAACAAATGAGTGTGGAATTGAGGAAGACGTTGTTGCTGGTTTGCCCTCAGCCAGAAATATTGCATGGGAGGCTGCCATCTGAGCCAGATTGTTGCTGTTTCACAAGCAAGTATTTGCCAAACCAAAGATATAAAATAGTGAGTATTTGTGTTACTTTTGGCTTTGGATCAGAACTATTTATGCATATGAAGTTGATAAATATGGCTAAATGCTTTGCTGGATTTGTTAAGTATTTGTATTGCATCTTCAACCAGTAGTGGAAACATGATGTTTGGAAAGAGGTATTAATCAAATTATGTGTTAGTATTCTTGCAGAATAAAAGCTTTTTTATTTTTTATTTTTTTATTATTATTATTATTTTTTTAGAAAAGCGAAGTTTACGAGGTGGGAGGACTTTTTTCTTTTCTCCTTTTAATGTTAAAGAACTCTTAGTGCATGTGAAGATAATAACCTTTAATGATATTAGAACTTCTACGACACAAAAATACTCCAACTTTGAATTCAAGTTGTATTAAAAAATGAAGGATAATTTTGTCTAAAACAAGTTTTTTCCACCTCCACTCTTTTATATAGATATAGATTATAATCTCTACGACACAAAAGAACTCAAACTTTGAATTCAAGTTGTATTAACTCTTTTTTTTTTGTTGGTATTAATACTAGTATATTGTACAATGTTTTCTCTCAATGAGTAGTGTTTAGAAGAATGATATTTCCGGCCGCCTACAGATTTGACAGTTATATTTTGAAAAAGGGGAAAAAGTTTCTCCCTTTTTTATCACATTCTCGGGAAAATGGACAAAATAAGCATTCTATAGGGCCCTTTTAAGTTTTTTAATCATTCTTTTCAAAACACAAGTTTTATAGGCATTTGCTGATATCACTTTCACACCAAATGACCCTCACTACCCGTGCACTAATATTTTAGACTTCCCTCCTGATTTCCTCCCTCTACCTCCGTCCCCCTCTTTTTCCAGATTTTTTTTTTCTTATTGTTTTTCATTATTCTCTTTTCCTCCTCAGCAAAATTTTTTTTTCTCATTATCTTCTAAAATTTTCTTGGAGTTTCTCTTTTTCTTATTCCATTTTTCTGTATTTTTTCTAATTACTATTATTCCATTTCTTCTTTACTGACCACAAAAAGCAATTTACTTTAAAAAAACCCTAAATCTTTCAGCTTTTTTTTTAAAAACTAGCAGCCTCCATGGTTCCCGTGACTTCGCTGACGACAGCTTCATCAAAGCCGATGAAGGAAGTCATTCGCCGAAGAAAGAAGCTCAGTGGAGAGCGAGAGAGCGAGATCGAGGGTGAGCGAGAGAGAGATCGAGGGTGAGTGAGAGAGAGATCGATGGTGAGGGTGAGCGAGAGAGAATTGAGGGAATCTAAAAATAATATTTTTAATGAGATTGTTTTTTTTATAGTATCTAAAAATTAATTTTGAATTAATGTTTATCAAATCAAATTAATTTTGAGAAAAACGGAATCTCAATATTAATTCAAATTGTTTCCCGAAATCTCTCATCAATCTCCTTAAATCTCTCATAGTTTTAATTATAATTGAATTTCAAATCCCCAATTTTACTTTTCAAATCCTCCAATTTTTCAAATTTGAATTAAATTTCAAATTTGAATACTTTTTTTGTAATTAGATTTTAAATTGATATTTTCATTTGATTAAATTTTAAATTAGGAATGAAAGAGATGAAATCAAAATGAGGGGTTTTTAATTCAATCTTAATTAAAACTAGGTTGGGAGATTTAATGAGATTGAGAATAGATTTCCTC